TCTCTGATTGCCCCTAACCACTCTGCCTGCCAGCCTGATTAACCCCAACTGCCCCCCCTTCCAGCCTGATCACCCCCAACTGCCCTCTTCTGCCAGCCTGCTTGCCCCCAACTGCCCTCCCCCCTGGTCTGCTTGCCCCCAAATGCCCCCCCTGCCAGCCTGCTCACCCCCAAATGCCTTCCCCTGCCAGCCTGGTCACCCCTAAGTGCCTCTGCCTCAGGCCCACCACCATGGCTTTGTCCGGAAGGTCTCTGAGAAGGTCTCCCAGTCTAATTAGCATGCTACCCTTTTATTAGTATAGATGTGGTTACTTAGGTGTGTATTTAATTCTGTGTCTAAACTATGAGCTCCATAAAGGTCACACTGTGTCGCTGGCAGGCCTAACACATAGTAAGCACTGGATGGAGGTCCAGTTAGGAAGAGGGCTGAAGTATGCCAGTCGTGTGCCTTGAGGAGTCCAGTCTAAATGACGGCACCATCACGGTGAATCCGCTTCCCGGGCCACAGCCGCTGCACTGGCCAAGACTGGCTGGGAGAGTGGGCTCGGTGATGCTGACACCACCTCATGGCACAGAGCCTCCGGGTCCGAGGCCCATCGCCCTGCAGACTTCTGCACCAGGACCCACCACTGGGGTCCCAGGGCAGGGCCCGGTGGCTCAGTGGTCTTGTCCCCGGCCCTCTCTGTTCCTCCCTCCAGGGCGGAGGGTAACTTCCTGAGGAACCTGGCCTCCCTCACTGGGGGGCGCTATCACTGCCTTGTTGGTGAGGACCTGGTCTCCCACATTCACCGCCTGCTCAAGAGCTTCCTGCATGACCAGGTAGGCGGTGGAGCCACTGAAATGGCTCAGTAATGTTAGCGGACATGGCTGTTACCCCTCACTGCGGAGGCCCTGCGTCTCTTGCCAAAGGACTGGCGACAGAGGCTGTGCCTCCCTGCTGCTCTCCTCTTAGGCAGCTCTCCTCAAGGTTGGCAAAGAGGCAGCGTTTCGGGTGCTATTTAATGACACAACAGTTTGCATTATTGAGCACTTACTAGGCACAGGTCGTTGCTTTTTATAGATAACCTCTTCTACTCTCCCCAGCCAGTCCTGGCCTTTCACAGGAGAGGAAGCAGGCTCAGCCAGACCTGGGAACAGCCCGAAGTCAGAACAATGTGAAGGAGCTGAGACGCCCTCCCCACCCCCACCCCACCCCACCCCCACCCCGTGTTCCTGAGCGCTGGGCTTTGATTCCCACATATTTCTGTCTCCCTGGGTTAGAGTCACTGAAACAGATATTCAAATGACCTGGTAAATAATAAATCTGTTAAAGTCACGGGTTCCATCACACATGGGACAAGAGGAAGACATCAGTGGTCCTCTTTCAATCGAACAGAAAAAGTATGCACATGTTTCTACCTTTTAGAACATTCCACTGTCAATGATCACATTTCCAAATGATCAAGTAACACAACCAACCAGAATTCCAGATTTCTTTCTGGAAGTTAGATCACTGCCCCAGGCCCTGGCCAGTGTGGCTCACCATTGGTTGAGCATTGTCCTGGGCACTGAAGGGTCGCAGGTTCGATTCTTGGTCAGGACACATACCCAGGTTGCAGGTTTGATCCCCAGTCAGGGTGTGTGTGGGAGGCAACCAATGGATGTTTCTCTCTCACATGGATGTTTTTCTCTCTCTCCCTCTCCCTTCTTCTCTAAAATCATTTTTTTTTTAAATAGAAGATTACTGTACCAGGACATGGCATACTTTTAAAATATATATATTTCTTTTATTGATTTCAGAGAGGAAGGGAGAGGGAGCGACAGACAGAAACATCAATGATGAGAGAGAATCATTGATCGGCTGCCTCCTGCACACCCCCCACTGGGGATCGAGCCCACAACCGCAACCTGGGCATGTGACCTTGGCCGGAATCGAACCTAGGACCCTTCAGTCTGCAGGCCGACACTCTATCCACTGAGCCAAACTGACTAGAGCCATGGCATACTTTTTGAAGTCAAGTGTTTTGCATGATTTCTTTGTTCAAGTGACTGCTTTAGGGCCAAATATTACAAGTAATACAGAGGACAGCACAAGTAAAAGTAATGAATGCCCTTATTACACAGGAAAATGAACTTAATGTCGTGAAGGTCCTCAGTTCAGTGTCTTATCAAATGAGACTTTGAGTGAGTTTGTGGGTATGGAATGGGCTCATCCCACGACTCCTGCCAGCATCTCTCTCAGAGTCTCTTGCTAACTGTGAGGACTTTCCTTTTAAGGCGAGGCTTTGGAATTTCATTGGTTGACAGAAGGAAAAGCATGTCTGGGAAGCTCTGATTTATTACAAGAAATCGAGAAAGGGCTGAATAGATGCTACTGCGTAACAGTGAGATCAGGAGCCCCTGCTGCTTCTGTTCTGTTGACTTCAGTGAAGTCCAGAGACCGCCTCGATTTCCACTCCCCTCCCTCCACGGCCTCTCAGACATCTTCTTGCAAAATGTCCTGTTTGCAGAATGACCCCCTTAAGCAGTGGCGAGCTCCCTGTCCCTGGAAACATGCAGGTGGGGTTCGCAGCTGTCCCGCACTGGGCGGGAGACTGCGTTAATTAGCTCTAAATTCTCCTGCTGAGATTTTGGATTTTCGTGTCCCATCTAGTCACTTGTGGGTCTAACTTCACACTCATTTCCCGTTTCCGAGGGCTCCGTGCTGCCACTGTTTGAAGGGGATGACTTAAGGAGACTGGCCCAGGAGGTCACCGCGGCTAGGAGCCTCCTCTGGCAAGCCCAGTCACTCAGGTATGCCCTGCAGCAGCCCCTCCCACGCCATGTGGCTGCAGTCCTCCCGCCCTGGGCATGCGCCCTTGTCCCAAGCGCTCCTGCTTTGCTTCTCTCCACCCGGCCCAGAAATCTGAGCATGGGGAACCCCATTCCTTCATTCCTGTCCACTAGGTCCCAGCTCCAGAAGAAAAACTATGCGGAACCTAAGGTCGCTCTTTCTAGAAAACCCTTCTCGGGTAAGGGGGACGGACTCCACGCCGTCTGCGTGCCTACCAAGGGCCAGGAAGCTGCTCTGTTCCATGGACAGCAGGATTACGGGAAAGAATAAATAAGTCCTCTAAACAGAAAGGCCATCCTACAAAGAACCACCAACTGAGCACATCATGACCCTGAGGGTTAGGTGCCTGGAGAGCTGTGGCCCCCCCCTCGCGCCCCCCCTGTTCTGGGCACCAGGTTCCCTGGAAGCTGGGGGAAAGGCTCTGCCATCCCAGATCTACACTAACGCTCCTGCTCTGGCCCCAACACACCCCACACTCCAGGCACAAGATCGTCACCTGCTGGGAAGCCCTACACCAGGCTCCTTGCCTGGAATGTCCATCTTGCCACCCTCTGCTTGGCGACTCCTGCTCATCCCTCAGAGCACAGCTCCAGTGGCATCCGCTTCACTCTGAAGATGTCCCTGGGACCCAGCAGGACTTGGGAGCCTCCAGCCTTCCTCCCGTAGCATCCTGACCAAACGTCCCTCTCTGTAGAGGTGACACCGCTTCCTACATGCTTCCTTGTTCCCTTGTCAACTCGTCTCCTCGACCAGGCGCGCTCAGCCTGAGGCTGCTGTCCTGACCCTCCCCGGGCCCAGAACTGCAGTAACACTGAGCGCGCAGCTAGTGTGGGAGCCCAGTTCTGGAAACCAGAGGCCAGTCCTGGTCCCCTCGCTCTGTGCTTCCCACCACCCGGGCCCAGGGGGATGCAGATTCGCTGCCAGCCCCTCCTGGGAGAAGAAAGGTGAGCCTCATTGCCACCCCTTCCAGCTGAACCAAATTGAGCAGGTCCGCCTGGGAGCCTGTCACAGCATGTGAGAGCTGAGTGGGGTCTGCGGGGCCGCCTAGTGCATATGAAATGAATGGCATGTATTATGTGACCTGGGGTCATTTTCTAAGTCAGAAAAAGTTGCCTTTATTTAATTAATAAGATCAAAATTACTTTCGAACTCAAGTGATTATTGGTACGGGTGTGTGTATAAAATTTTGGTGAGATAAAACTTTATTAAAAAATTCATTCAGATGCCAAACCGGTTTGGCTCAGTGGATAGAGGGTCGGCCTGCGGACTGAAAGGTCCCAGGTTCGATTCCGGTCAAGGGCATGTACCTTGGTTGCGGGCACATCCTCAGTGGGAGGTGTGCAGGAGGCAGCTGGTCGATGTTTCTCTCTCATCGATGTTTCTAACTCTCTATCCCTCTCCCTTCCTCTCTGTAAAAAAATCAATAAAATATATTTTAAAAAAAAATTCATTCAGAATATATGAAGAATTACAAATCAATAAGAAAAAGATAAACATCCCAATTTTTCTAAATGGACAAAAGACTCAAACAGGTACAAATGGACAATAGGTATATGAAAAGGAGCTCAACAACCTTACCCAGTGAAATGCAAACTAAAACCACAAGGAGACACCACTACACACCCACCATGGCTGAACATAAAAATACAGTATCAAGATATAGGGAAATCAGAGCTCATGCATAGCTGGAGGCGAGGTGTAAATTGGTTTGACCACTTTGGAAAACTGTGACGATTCCTATAAAAGTAAAAAATATATGAACTCCAGCAATTCTACTCAGAGAGAAATCAGTGCATGTGTTTGACAAGACATATTCAAGAATGTTTTATAGCAGCTTTATTTATAGAAGCCAAATATTGGAAACAGCCCAGCCAGAGTGGCCTAGTGGTTGAGTGTCAAGCCACGAACGAAGAGTTCACCGGTTCAATTCCCGGTCAGGGCACATGCCCGGGTTGCGGGCTCGATCCCTAGTCAGGGGCATGAGGAGGCAGCTGATCAATGTCTGTCTCTCATTGATGTTTCCATCTCTCTCTCCCTTCCTCTCTCTCTAAAATCAATAAAAACATATTTTTAAAAAATATATTGGAAACAATGTAAATGTCCATCCATGTGACACATTTGTACAGTGGAATACTGTCCTACTTGTCAATTGAAAAAGAATGAATGACAGCTGTAGTCAACAAGACACATCAATCTTTTTCTTTTTAATTAATTTGAGTGGAAGTGAAGTGGGGGAGGGGGAGAGAAACATGGACTTGTTCCACTTATGCACTCATTGGTTGATTCTTGTATGTGCCCTGACTGGGGATGGAACTTGCAACCTTGGCATGTCCGGATGATGAGCTACCCAGCCAGGGCCAAGGCACATCAATCTTATGAACGATATTGGGGGAAAAACAACCTGAAAGAGGAGACACTGTGGAATTCCACTTATATGAGGTCAAGTACAGGCAAAACTATTGCTGGCAGTAGAAGTCAGAAGAGTGGCGCTTTTGGGGGGTGGGGGGAGGGGCAGGCACCCGGGTCACCCAGGGGCCTCTGGTATGCTGGAAGGTTCTATATCTTGACCTGAGTGTTGGTTACATTGATGCATATATAAGAGCTCATCACGTGTTAAAAACCAGGTTGCTAAGGCTTGACAAGCCTTGGCCTTGGCCAGGCTCGGTGGACCAGGCAGACGGCACTGAACCGGGCCTGACACAGTGGGTCCCGTCTGGTCACTGTCCTGGACGGACCCCCTGTGACACCTGTGACGCAGAGAGCAGGCTGTGGCGGTGGCACTTTGCTAGAGCTGCCATAACGAAGTACCACAAACCCGCGACGGAAACCACGGACATGTACCAGCAGTGCCTCCCGCCGGAGGCCGCGGGATGAGGTCGGTCCCAGCAGGGCTGTGCTCCCTCGGAAGGCGCAGGGCTGGTCTGGGCCAGGCCTCTCCCGGCTGCCAGTCCTCCCGGGGCAGCGTCTCTGCAGCCTTACGTGGTGCGCACCCGGGCGCGTCCCTGTCCGAGTCCCTTTTCCTGAGGACATCGGTCTGCTGCTCGGGCCCTCGTCTGCAGTTACG